TTTTTTTTTAATCTATTAAAGTTTGTGTCTTTTTAACCAAATAATAGCTTAACATTTTTATATCACCAAATATATCTCTTTAAACAGCTGCTATTTTCCATCATTGTGATCACCTTATCTAAATTTTCCATGTTGTCTTGCAGACTTTTTAACAAATTTTAAAAATTGTTTTATTTTCCACATTTAGGTCTTAAAATAAGCTAAGTGTATTTTTTTCTATAAAATGTATTAATTTAATACAATGAAATAAATCCAGGAATTTATTTTTATATGTAGTGCAAGATTGGGTCCCACTTTCTTCGCACTTGGATGGCCAGTGGAGCCAGCATAGCTTATTAAATAATTTGTCCTGTTTTGCTAAAATACCATCTTTGTTATATGTCAACTTTATATACACTGAAGTAATTCTGGATTTACCATTCCTCCAATTTTTGTTGTTGTTGTTGTTGCTGTTGATTTTATTACAACAATGTTACAGAGAGCCGGGTGTGGTAGTGCATACTTGGAGTCCCAGCACTCAGGAGGCTGAGGCAGGAGGGTCATTGTCAGTTAGAGGCCAGCCTGGGCTACATAGTGAGTGAGTTTAAGGCCCCCCTGAACTACATAGAGAAACCCTGTCTCAAAAGACCCCCCCCAAGAAAAACCCAACAAAAATTTTATAGTTTATGTTCTGATAGTTGTTGAGGCAAAAATCCTCTCAACCTTCTTCTTTCCCATACTTTTTTTGGCTGCTCTGAAACATTTATCCTTTTGTAGTTACTTCAGGCTTATTTTTTTTTCTTTTTAATAGGAACCAACAGTGAATGTCCTCCTGATACTTCACATATCAATGTAATTTCATTTCTTCTCTGAATAAGCATCTTAAACTAAAAGCCAATGTGATACTAATAAGCACGATCCCTCCCATTACAATAATGTCTGGTTGCTACCCCCACCGTTACGTTGGGAAGGAGTGCGAGTCACGGCAATTAGAGAACTGGCGGGTAGGGAGCAAGGGAATGGAGGGTGCGTTCTTACACAGAGTGGCTGGAGCAGGCTTCACTGCTAAAGAAATATTTGGGAGGAGTCTGGAAGGCAGTGCAAGAATGAACCCCTTGGCTATTTGGAAGATGAGGTCCATGGAGAAAGAAGGGAAGGGGAAAGGCATAGGCCATCCTCCGTGTATCTGAGGAACTTCCCGCAAGGCAGAGCGAAAGCAGTGAGGGAGGGAGGCAGCTGCTGAAGATGAGGTCAGAGATATTGTTTATTTACAACCAAAAGAAGACAGTTAGGATACATACAGCTGACAAAGGAAGGACTGGTTTCAAGCATGTATGGGGCATATCAAACATTGAATTTAAGCTGTGAACATTGAAATTAAACACTATTACAGTAAGAGACACATTGCAATTCGTCCACTTCAAAACACACCCCCTTCAAACACACTCATCCCATCATTGCTGCCTCTTTCGTGAGGGTCTTTAGTCATCCTGTCATGGCTGCCTTACTCTCTTGAATCCATTCAAAATGTTTACCTTTCATGCTTTTTTTTTTTTAAATTTAGGGGAAGAGTCAGAAGTCACATAGAACCAGAGTCCATGAGGAAGGCGATTGAATAAGGTGGATGAGGACAGACTGTAATGTTTTTATGAGCCCGCTTTTCCACTGGCTGGCGCTCAGAGCTGCATTCACCAGGTTTTTGATCACACCTCATAAAGACATTCATTTGGGACTTAGGGTAGTGGCAAGGACAATAAGATAAGGGTATCAAAAGTGGGGATTTTGAGGGGGAATTAATGGCAATATATCTTTTACTGTAATAAACTTTTAAATTTAAATGTTCACTGTATGTATATTTGGATCTCACCTTGTATTCTTTTTTTTTTTTTCAGCTTTAATTGAGTTTATTGGTACATTTTAGGGATACAGTACAGTTACATTCATTGTTGGGAATTTGTACCTCTACATGGCAAGTCATGGTTCTCATTTTTTCCCCTTGTCCCTGCCCTCCCTTCACCCCCTCCTCCCTCCCCATTTACAAACACTATTTCCATCTTTTCATTATCTCACATTTTTTTCTTTTCCCTTATTACCTTTCCCCTACTCATCCTACCTTCCCTACACCTTTAGCTCCTTTCTTCCCATTTCTAAATGTCAGGATTCTTATTAGGATCTTGTTTATTATTGCATATTATTCACAACAGAGAGACTATTCAATATTTACACATGTGTGCCTTATTTATTTCACTTAGGAGTATATCTTCAATATGTATCCATTTTCCCATGAATGAATGTACTTTCTCATTCTTTTTGGCTGAGTAATATTCCATTTTATAGAAAAACCACATCTTCTTTATCCAGTTTCCAACGGATGGGCAAATGGGCTGTTTCCAAGTTTTAGCTATTACAAACTGTGCCACTATAAACATGGGTGCGCATACTTCTCTGTGATATGATTCTTTTTCACCTTGTATTCTATAAGTCAACAGATAACACACACAGACAATTTAACAGAAATGGGAAAATATGTCATTACATTTCACTGAAGAGGAATCATGTGAAGAAACCTTTCACTGCTTTGGTGATTAAAGTAATTTAGCAGACCATAAAGAACAAAATATTCCTGCCCATTGCATAGGCAATGTTGCATATTAGAAAAGCATGCACAGTGACAAGATGTATTCTTCTTGGCTGGTGAAAGTTTACTTTTGTTTATTCATTTATTTATTTATTTTTTGGTACTGGGGATCGATCTTGGGTCCTTGCGCTTATGAGGTAGGCAGTGGCACCACTGAACTAAATCCCCAGCATGGCTGGTGAAAGTTTAAATTGATGTATCCACTTTGGAAAATATTATTAGCTCTGGGCACAGGTTGAACATTCACAGGCCTTAGCACTCAAGGGTTCCATATACCTCTGGGCCAGGAGCCTGGACAAGGTTGTGGTAATACTGTTCATGACAGCAAAAACCTAGAAACGACTCCATTGCCCATTTACAGGACAGCAGTGAAATGTTATTATGTAGCCATTTAAATGAATTAGGTGATATGTGATTTCAGGATGAATTTTAGTAATTCAATATTAGGGGAAATAAATCCCCAAAGATAATATGCAGTGTGATATCCTTTTTATGAATAGGATACACATTTATATTTATATTTATATTTATATTTATAATACAAAATAGCAAGGGGATGATGAACGAGGGTTCATGATGTATGTTATCAGTGGTTGGTTCAGGAGATCAAATGAGGATATAGCAAGAATATGGGAAGCAATATAAATGTTGAAGATGTTGAAGTTAATGAAAGATGTAATCTTTGTTCCGGTAGAATAAAAAAGAAAGCAAGAGGAAATATCATATAGAGTTTACACGAACCACTGATAACATACATCATGAATTTAGGATCATTTATATACTTCTGTCCACCTATATTTAAAGATGCAAATATGAAAAGATTTGCAGAGGATGAAATACAAATTGGTAATAAATGTACAAAAGAATAACTGAGAAGTAAAAATTGAATTATTTGGGGGAGGTGAATATTGGAGATTGAACTCAGGGAGCGCTGAGCGATATCTTCAGCTCTTTAAAAATTTTTTTGTTTAATTTTTTAAAATTTCATTAGTACATGTTTGCAGGGCATAATGTTTGTATTCATCTGAGGATGTAGGTTTTCATTTTTGTTTGATGGGGCCTTGTGAAATTGCCTAGGCTAATCTTGAAGTTACAATCCTCCTGCCTCACCTTCTGAATAGCAGAAATTGCAAGATATGTGCCAGTACACCCAGCTTGAATTAAGATATTCTAACTAAAAAAAGATATTTTTACTGGCCGTTTTGGCAATAATAAAATGTTTGGCCTTAGTAGACTATTATCACATACATAAAATGAAAAATAGAGGAAATATTAGTAACATTTCTCCACTGCAGATTAGAAAATAAATGGTACAATTATTAAAAGGAAATTGAATTAGTAGCCTAAAAAGATAACCTGAATTTAAAAAATTAAAATATATATCCTTTTAACTGATGGATCTTCCCTAGGAGTTTATCCTATAGCTAAATTCACAGTGATATAAAATATTCAAATAAGAATGTTTGTTGGAAAATTACTTACAGTGATCCCCAACAATACAAAACCAATAGGAGCATGGTTAAATAAAATACAGTGCTATACAGTCATAAGATTGAATATTAAATAACCATAGAAAGAATAAAGCTCTCTCTTGCGTGTCAATGCCAAAGTCAAAAGGAGCCAATAACAGTAATTAGGCTGCTTGTAAAGACATTTTGTTTCATCTAATAATACCAGGAACGTTACATCAGACAGAGTTTCTAATTACAGCTCTTGATTGCCTGATTCTTAACAAATAGTTCCTAGATTTACATGGAAAAGCTCTACAAGAAAAAAACGTTTAAGTCCAGAAACCTCCCAGGATATCTATAATTTGATGACAGAAAAAAACAAAAAACAAAACAAGAACCAACAAAAAAACACCTTAAGATTGAGCTACATTATTCTTTTGTGAGAAGAAATTTTGTTCTTACTTAGGATGAAACCAGGCTGAGAGCTGAGGTTCTTCCACTTGATTATTCCTCGGAACAAAGACAAAAATCAAGTCGATTAGTTAACTCAGTCAGTTAATATCTGTTGAACTCCGACAATATGACAGGCACAATTTTGTACTTGTTCTTCAACTGTGAGTGTTTAAATCTAGCTCCTGCCTGCGGGAAGCTTACAGAATAGCAGCAAACACAATATAAAAAGGACAATCATAGCGTCTTTTTGTTGTTAAGTGTTAATAGAGAAAAGTGGAAGGATGGAAGTGGGGTTTCCAACACAGATTTGGGGTTAAGGGAAATCCTTCAAAGAAGAAATACATGAATGGGGTCTGGAAGCACACATAAGGGTCTGTCCAGGAAAGACGCATGAGAAAGAAGTCACAGAAGGCAGAAAAGCCACGAGTGCTTTTTCTTGGTGAAGGGCTATGTTTTAAAAATTACCAGAGTGGGCCGGGGATGTGGCTCAGTGGCTTCGCCGCCTGCCTTGCAAGCTCAAGTATCTCATTTGGATCCCCGGTACCTCCCCACAATTGCTAGAGCAAAAGAAGGGTTAATATTCAGAAAATGCAGATTTAGATAATTAATTAGTTATTAGTAGCTTACCATATGATGGCTACTTTGTTGTGTGTTGACATAATGAAGCTGAAGTAAAGCAGCAGATGTTTACCCTTGATTTTAATTTAAAGATAGGCTCCAACTAAGGTTTTGTTTTACTTTTAATTATTCACCTAACGTGTCATCAGTCAACTTCCTTTTCATAAACCTGGGACATTTTGTGAAATAAGAATAACTTTAAGCAATTGTTCTGGAAATAAAAAGGAGTAGTTCTAAATTTCCCTATTTCTCCTACAAAAATCCTAGACATTATATATAAAACAAACATGCGTGACATCAAATAGAAAGAAGGCAGATGACTTAAGGGCCCAGGGACCTAAAGGTTGATGGCAGTGCATTCCCTGAGTTACCCTGTTGCTATATATTCCAGTAACCCAGAAATGCCACTGGAAATGCCACAGGAAATGCCTGGTCTTTTTAATTAAAAAATAAAGAGCCAGGTATTTAGTTCAGTGGCACCATGCCTGCCTTGCAACACAAGGTCCTGAGTTTGATTCCTGGTACAGCAAAAATAAACAAGTGAATAAATAACTGAACAAACAAATAAATAAATAACCAGGAAAATGGCAACCTAGCTGGCCCAAAAGCTCTTAGATCCTAACCATTCTGCTCCAGCCAACTACCACAGAAAAAACTGGGACTTCCTCTTCTACTCTCTCCAGCTAATGTCAGCAGAGTCTCAACTTTCACCCTTGCCAAAATGGTAATGGAGGTTCCCTCTCCTCATGACTGTGGAGTCAATGCAGGCTGAATTTCTGACCCCTACTCAGAAATTTAGACCCTCTCTGTCTAAGGTGTGGACAACATAATGTGGGGATCATGGACTCCCACCTCCATTCATCAGTAACAAAAATCCTTCCACTGCCAAACCCTTACACCTGGTTTCTATGGAGGCAAAGTAGAAAACTTGGAATTTCAGCATCAACTGATGGTAGTGACACAGTTCCAGAGCATTTCCCAGCTGAAGCAGTAACAGAGGGAACCTGAGAAAGCAGAGGATTTAAATAGATCTACAGTCTTATAACGTGATACCCAGAGATGTCCAGGTTTCAACTGTAAAATCATTTATTGTGTTATGCATGAGGAAGATCTCAACTTTAAGAGAAAAGGAAATCTACAATTGCCAGTATCACATAGGCACTAGAATTAACTGAGAGAAACTTTAAAGAAGCCTTTGTAAAAAGGTTTCAGCAAGCACTTACAAACGTGTGAAAAATAGAAACAGCAAAGATATAGAAAATCTAAACGAGGGACAAATGGGAACTTTGAAAGTTAAACACTAAGAAATTAAAATAACTGAACGGACAGGCTCAACAAGAGGATGGAGAGGACAGGGGAAAGAATCAGTGAAGCTGAAGATAAAACGATAAAAATTAATCAGCCATGGGTCAGGGATGTAGCTCAGCAGCGCCATGCCTGCCTGGAAAGCACAAGATCCTGAGTTCGATCCTCAGTACTGGGGGGAAAAAATCAGCCTGACCAACAGAGAAAAATCATTAAAACAAACCAAACCAAGCCACATAACAACAACAACGACAACAAAACCCAGCCTCGGGACAATAAAGATGTAACATACCTTAACCCAAAGAAATTGCACCAAGGCATGTGACAGTCAGATTTCTAAAATTAAAGATAAGAAAATCTTGAAAACAGAGAAAAAGATCCATTACCTATAAGAGCAAAACAATTTCACAATGAGTGGATTCACATCAGGAACCACGGAGGCCAAAAGGAAGTGGCACGATACTTTCCAGGTGTTTTAAGAAAATAATCTTCAACCAAAATGTGCCCCGCTGAGCAAAATTTTCATGTGTCTGTTTGTGGAGTACTACACTGCGATTAATAAGAGTGAGCTATGAATTAACACAGGAGTCGGCTTGGATCTCAAGGGGATTGTGCTGAGTGAAAAAGTTCTGGTCACGTCCTATAAGATCTCATTTATAAAAATCCACAAAATGACAAAAGTATAGACATGGAAAAAAAATGAGCAGCGATGCCAGAGATTAGACAGGGTTCGGAGGAGGATATTGTACATGAGTTCAAATGGGGCACATTTGTTGCGATGGAAGAGTTGTGAATCTTGATTGTTATTGTGCTTACAGGAATCTACACACGGTAACGTCACATAAATGTCAGTGTCCACAGCTACATCTATGTTTCCATCTCCATATCTATGTATCTTGCCTAAGTGTGAATTTCCTGAATTTGATTATTACTGGTACAATTATGTAAGGTGTAACACCGAGGGGAGTGGGGGGAAAATATACCTGATCTCTTTGCCACATCCTATAATCAATAGTTAATGTAAAAAAAAAAAAAAGGAGTACATCCCTTTAAGATATTTTCAAAGATATCATTAGCTAAGACATTTTGTTATGGGATTCTCCAGGAAGGTGCTCTTTCAAAATCCAAATGGTCCCTGCCTAAATTAACTAAAAATACACAGTCACAGAGCGCTTTGAAACATTTGTTTTGAGGGTTTTCGCTAATTGTGGGGTCCTCTACAATGAGACCATAGTTGACGAGAGCTAGCTAGCAATCATCATCTAAAAAATATTGTGCTGGAGAGACACCTACAGCTAGTTTCAAAAACTTGTTCAGGGTTAGCTAGTGAGTGTGTCAAGTGAGCAAATGCTGGAGGTCTGTAGAATCTCATATACATGGATAAGGCATAAGCCTTCAGTCCTTCTGAACAGGTGTCCAGGAGATGAGTCAGTGTGTCACTTTGACTCTAGGGAATTCAGTCTAGTCTTCTGCGCTCTCTGTCCACCAGCACTGTTAGGAGACATCTGGCCTAGCTACTCTGCCCTGAATACTTTGTAGAGCATCCATAGGATAAATTCTTACCAGCAGACATATATCTTCTGCAGGCGGTTCTTTATGCTTTAAATAAATGAAAAAGCAATCATTTTGGTTTTAAATTTGACAAAATTTTTCTATTACAACAAAAAGTCTAGAATTCAAATGTTCCATGCACTCATTCGTTAGCCAGAATGCATTAAATGTTTATGACATACTATACATAATGCTATAGTTATGAAATGCATGACGAAATCCAGGCCTGGCATTAGTTTATGGTCTATTTTTTCTTAAAAATGGACAGCCTTTTATTATCTTCAAAAAGATGACATTGCCAGGTGTGGTGGAACCCACTTGTAATTTCAGCATTCTGCTAGGCTGAGGCAGGAGGATTACAAGTTTGAGCCTATCCAGGACTGGGGATGTGGTTCAGTGTGAAGGCCCTGGGTTCAATCTCCCAGTAACACACCCACGCCACCATCACCACTGCATTAATACTGTTATAATTGGCTGTGAGCCATTTTCATTAATGTACAATAGCCCTGAGGAGAAATAACCTGTAGTATGTACTAACAAAGCAATAAGACTACACTTAAAATATATTAGCTCTCACAATATAGCTGCTTTTCAAATAGCCTTCACGTTGCATTACTTGTAAAGACCAGAAGAGGAGGTCATAGAAAAGATTAGAATTAGAATTTTTCTTAATTAGGAAATTTTAGCAGGTTAAAAAATGTGTTTTCCAGTATAACCAGGTTATTTATTTATTTATTCGGTACTAGGGATTGAACCCAAGGAGTACTGAGCTACAATTCCTAACACTTAGAAAAAAATTTTTTTTAAAATTCTGAGAGTCTTGCTAAGTTGCTCAGGCTGGTCTTGAATGTGAGATTCTCCTGCATCAGTCTCCTGAGTCACTGGGATTGCAGGAGTGAGCCGTGAGCTACATTCAGGTTTCTGTAACTTTGACATAGCTTAAATTTTTAGAAAAGCCTTAGATTCATTAATTTTGAGCGAAATATATATCCCTAAGCAACTGGTCTGAATATAAACTCATGTGTTCATCAGGTAGGCATGTGAAAATTGTTCAAAATTATCCCTTTAGGTCAACAACTCCTTTTTTGAAACATATTGCTTAACAGAGAAAGAAAGGTGTGTGTAAATCTTAGTTACAAGGATGGCAATCATAATATTGTTTATTAAAGTGAAAAACTAGATGATAAGGACTTAAAAATTTTTATCTAAAATATCCTAAAACAGTCCTCTTACCTCCCCTCCTTTCTCTTTAGTATCATTATATAAAACATAACATCCTTGACCTTTCGGATTTCTTTGTTTATTGTTCTTCTCCTCTCCTCACTCCAACTGTGATGCTTCATAAAAGAGTGACTTTGGGTCACTGCCGTTTTCCCACCACCTTGAAGAGGGCCTAGCACTAAGATCGGTAAGGATTTACTCAGTGTTGAAAAGATGAAAAGTAACTTTCGATAGATTTAAAGAGCGCTATTAATAGCTTTCAGATAGAACTCAACACTTTCGATCAACTTGGCCAATCATTAAGGACAATGATTCTCCAGTATTTTATATTTACCTGAAATGATACTCCATACATGTTAGCCATAAACCAGATAAAATCAGTATCAGAATTTTTCTTTTAGAATTCATTCCCTCTAGAAAAAGAGGATAAAAAGTTGGTTATTTTGTTTTTGTTTCTGTTTTCTTAGTGAAAAATGGCTTCTTTACCATCTTCTAACAACAATTCAAGATGTGGAAATTTGGCTACTAACTTCTTTCAGTGCCCAATGCTTGTTCATTCTTAGGGAGAAGGCATACTTGGGTCAGGGAACCCTCCTGTTCTGTTCAAAGAGCCTGACAGTCTCCTTCAAATGCACCCTGATCCTTTCGAGAATTCGGTGCCAAGTGTCTGTGATGTTTCTCTTGCATTCCTTTATCAAAGTCCACCCTGGCTTTATATAGCTTGCACAAAGATAGAAATGTGATAGGGCTACTGATTTAAAAATAAATGAGCTTGTAAAGAATGATTGAAAGTCTGCCAAGAGTTGTACAAGATCCCAATGATGAATGTAACTGTACTGTATACCTAAAAAGTAGCAATAAACTCAATGAGAGAGAGAGAGAAAAAGTCTGAATTACAGATACTAAGCACTAAAACAGAATATTTGGACCCAGCTGCAGGCCTTGCCTTTGGGCTATGCCTTAGATAGAGTAAAATAGAGGTGTCTGGTGCTTCATCTTTGAACACTTATTTAATATGCAAGATGTTTTATATCTGTACTTAATAGCGCAATTGGTGCTTAGCCTCGTATGGCTGGTGAGCCCGGGCAATGCTGGTAACCCAAACAGTGGAGCTTGAAGACTTAGCAGGAAAAAAATGATTGAAGATATCAACTCATGTTTTTTGTCTTGACTACTACTTGTTGAAATAAAATTTTGTATCTCATAGGTTAAATAAAATAGTCTATTATGACAAAGTTGGTCTGTTTTTTCCTCTTCTTTGCAATATAGTTTCTAGAATATTTAAAGTGACAAAAACATCTTAAATGTCTAGTGGAAAATTCTTTTAGAGATAATGCCGCGCTGGGAAGGCTTCAATTAGGACAATTTTAGTGTCCAGCTCTGTGAAATGGCCAGCTCTTTTAAATTCAAGATCTTTTCAAATATTATATGAATGAAACAAGACTGCGGTCCATCTTGCAGATTGTTTTCTGACAGGGGACACTTTGGTGACCTTATTCTTCAAAGCCAGTAGTGTGTTGCTGTCGCCTGTTAGTTTATAGAATATTCTCTCGAGGCAAGGCTGGGGGATCATTATTACCTATGCCTTTCTTTGTGTTTTTTTTTTGTTGTTGTTGTTGTTTGTTTGTTTGTTTGTTTGGTACCAGGGATCGAACTCTGATCCTTGCACTTTCGAGGCAGGCAGTGGAACCACTGAGCTAAATCCCCAGCCCTTTACCTGTACCTTTCTCATGTCATTCATGGTTTTATATAGTTCCTTCCAGAATGGCTACATCACCTTTTGTTTCAAAGATGTAAAGAGGGTTCTAAGACTAGCATTCTCCAATCATATTTTTAAGACTTTCAAAAATACCAAAGAATCAAATGAGATACTGTATACTACTCTCCTGCTGTTTGAGTCTTCTACTACTGGTGATGTCACCAGACTCTTTTGATGATGAAACATTAGGAAGTCACTGTCATAACTGCATTGGGCAGCAAGTTGTTTTCACTGCTACCAAACAACAGAACCTCACCCCAGCTGAAAAATTAAAGGGTTCAAAAAATATTCTTGTAGCCAGGTGTGGTAGTGCACCCCTGTAATACCAGCACTTGGGAGGCTGAGGCAAGAGGATCATCACCTGAGTTTGAGGCCAGCCTGGGCTACATGGTAAGTTTAAAGTCAACCTGAACCACATAGTGAGACCCTGTCTCAAAACAAAACACTACACACACAAAAAAAAATCTGCCTTTGTTGTACTCTCTTACTTTTCTTTATAATAGAACTTTGAAATATATTTCAAATTGGGTGTTGTATGCATAGATGCATATCTATATATACTAAGTATGACAGAGAAAGAGTATAGCAACCTTCTTTTTTTCATCCTATTTTAGACAGCCTGTTTATCCCAGGCAGAGCTAATCACATCTTACAATGTTTTTAAAGTATCTTTTTTGTGATTATAAAATAACACGTTTTCATATTATAAAATTTGTGTAGCACATAAAACCACAATAAAAAAGAAATCATATGTAATCACACTATGCTGGAACCCTTTAGTCATTGTTAACTTAATAACATAACATGATTAATTTTTTCCTTCCCCTAAAAACATTTTTTTCTTACTGAAAAAGATAATGCATGTATTCACATATGATTTTAAAAATCTTAACAAAAATAAGTGACAAAATGTACCTTGAGTCTTCTTCTACTCCAGTTCCTGACTCTTCTTGTTAGCCCGTCCCAGTACAGCCACTGTTTATATAGTTTCTTGAGCCCTATCCTCTAAGTATTCTGTGCCTATACATATGTTTTTAAGTATTTAGTAATCCTCTTCATAGAAATGGCTTCGTAGTAAACACACCCTCCTGGATGTTCAGTTGCTCACTCATCAGTATATATACTGCTACTGGAGATTGAACCCAGAGCCTTTACATTGAGCTACATCTAAAGCTCTCTCGTCATTTTTTAAAATTTTGAGATAGGGCCCTTCCAAGTTGTTAAGTTGCTGGGCTGTTGCATAATCAGCTTGTAGATAGCCAAGTCTTTCCTCTCTCCCCCAGTCCTGCAGGCTCCTTAACGGCCTGCCTAGGAGTGGTGAGGCCGTCTGTCTCTGAGTACCCACCTGGCTGCAAGCCTGCAGGCTGTTAGAACCACTCCCAAGATTCCGTGTTCTCTGGATAAAGAGTGTCAGGGGAGTTGCCGACCAGCAGCGGCCTCTCTTCTCTTTTTCAACAACCCAGATATTTGGTTTCACCTAGAAGTTTCACCCTTCAGATTAATTTTCTGTCTTTGGGTGTGGCTGCCTCCTCTATTTCAGAATACCTGCATTATCCCATGTCTCTCCTCTGAGTTTAATGCATCTCCTTCTCTAGTCGGCCATTTTGGAATCCTGCAGCTCTCCCTATATTTTGAACATCATTGCATTCATTATACCTCTTACTAATGTGACTCATTCTCTTTCTACTGTTGGGCTGTATTTTCCTATGTAAATGTCTCATAATATATTAATGTATTTTCTATTGCTAGCCAGCTTGGTCATTTACCCTCCTAGCTCTTATAAGACATGCCAAAGCGAAATGCTTACATGGGCTAATTGAGCACATGTTGACGTTGCAGGTTAAATTGTTAGAATGTGATTCTTAAAAGCAGTTTGTGTTCATCTGGAAGAGACATCAGTAAACCTCAGAGGTGTGTTAACTCCGAGCCCTTGGTCATCCAGATACCTCGCATGATATCATTGTTGACATCATGTCAGTTGTGTCATTTGAGCAGAAAATGGCAAGAACCCCAGATGTCATTGCCAATACAATGTATATCAGGATGTGAGAAAAAGGCCCCGCAAAAACTCAGGGGCCTGACACATAATTACATTTTGAGCAGCATATAAGCATACCCATCTAGACTAGATCCTGTACCCTTCACCACTTTTGACTATATCAGAGGCGCCATGCTCAGTGGGACTCTGGACATTGGAGGCAACCTATACTGCATTGGGGTATGCCACTTGGACAATTTATTGAGCAACTGGTACTCTGGGCAATTTTAAATAAGGCCTAGAACAGTAGAAAGGGCTATGTGAAGTCCATTGGAAAATCGATGACAAGAAAGTTGAGGCCCTTTCTGTGTTCTGGAGTTGAAGGATGTATGTGTCCATAAGCATGTTCACTGAAGAGTAATCTCAGTAGAAGAGACTCTAAGTAATGGAGAAAAATGGGATGATCTGTCCGGTAAGATCAGCTAGCCTCTTTCTACGGCCACCACAGTGCTTGCTCTCTGGGCCTGTGGAGAAAGGCTTTGGTGACAGGGGTGGATTCTTTGCCTGACCTCAGTAAGCCAGCCTTCCATTCATCATTGTCAACCACTCATTGTCAACCAATTCGTCATTGTCTCCACTGCTAATATCCAACCTGCCAGCAGCGAAGTCACTCTAAATAGCTCCCATGGCATCTTTCCCTCCGAGGGGCCATCTGACTAGTGGTGGAACATTGGTTCTGCTCCATCATGGAAAGGGAAGAAGTCTGTCTCCAAACAACTACACTCTGAGTACAGATTTTCCTTCCTTTCTTACTCTTCTGAGAGCACCACCACTTGTGAACTTATGGAATGCTTTATCCATTGCCTCTGACTAGGTGGTACACTTACTGAGAAATAGCTACAATGATGGGCTGAAGCTCATGAAGCCTTTTGGGCTGGCCATACATCGCTCAATGAGCAGCCCCTCACGTTGTGGAACGTCTTGCTGAAGTTTCACTTACACTTGTCAGTTGGCTGTAGGCTATGCCATGAGGTTGGGTGCCATTCTATAGGATGTGCCTATGCCTTGAAATAGTGGCCACTGTGTCATAGTGTGTCGTACCATAGCCAGAATGCATGTGGCAGAGAAGTGGAGCCCCTTTTACAACTACATGAAATAACCTACTGGGGTAGCTTTTGCTTCCAGAGCTGCAAGCTTGGGTTCAGGAGGTTTGGAGGTTCTAGTGTATGAAGAAGAAAAGCACCCCTAGGAAACACAGACATCCTATTGAACTACAATTTGAGACTTTCCCTGGCCATTTACATTCTCATCACCCAAATCCACAGCCACAGAAGGGGTTTTCTGTACTGGATTGGAGGCCTGATCACAATTACTAAGAAGAAAGTTGGTCACTACCTTGTAATACTGGACTGAGGCTATGTTTTCAAGGCATCACTGGGAGCCTCTAAATAAATACCACCTTAACCCAGGAGAACTTTTTAGGGGAAAACCGTGGCAGTCATTTCAGAAAGACTGGAAAAGAGATTCCTGAAGGAAGAAGTTTATGCTACCTCACCAGGTAAAGAGCCCCCTCCAGTTTCTAGCAGAAGGTTAAAAATATACAGTGGGTAGTAGAATTAAGAAATGATAAATGTGAACTTGATCTATGACCAGTTACAGAGACGAGGATTATAGCAGACATGCATAGTTTTCCTGTCTATACTATAAATATAAATTTATATTACATTATCTATTTTATGTACTAATATGTATCTTCATGTGCTAACTGATTAACCTATTTTTTATCCTTCTATCATTTTTATGAGTACTAGGTTTTTAAAAAAATTAATTTACCCCCCACTCTTGGTGACTGCTTGGGGAAAAAAGGTGATAGCCCAGGAGATGACAGTAAAGCAACTGGCCCACCCTCCCAGAACAGCAGCACTGGCGGGGGAAGAGGGTTAGAAAACGACTGTGGCCCTGAGGATAAGAATTCTGTCAAGGCTAAGCTGCTCCTGGAGAAGGGCCAGCCCAGGAAAGGGGAGCGGAAGCCCAGCATGGGCGGGGAGGTGCTGGCCACCCCCAGTAAGGCTGCGTTCAAGCTCAAGGACCCTCCGTAAGGCTACTTTGGGCCCAAACTTCCCTCTTCTCTGAGTAGGGAGCCTGTCCTCCCCCGATAAGGAAGCTCCCAGCTGCCCAACAGGACGTGTAAGGAGTCTGGGGTAGAAAGGGGGAAAGAGCAAGACCAGGCAGAGACGGAAGAGGGCCCTCCGGAGAGGAGAGGACGCCAGTTCCTGGCGCGGACCCAGCTGGCCCCTTATCTGACCTGCCCCCAGGAGAGCCAAAGTCCAAAGAAGCTGGTGCCGAGCACCCCGTGGCTCCACTGGGCAGCCCGGCACAGGACCCAGCCATCCCCCTTAGCTACCTCCCTGACCCCCCGCGATGGGGACGCCCTGGAGGGAGGCCCTGGAGAGCCGGGCCGTGGACGCTGGCTTGCTGCCCACAGCCCCTACCTGGAGCACTTGTCAGGTGAGTCTCCCACCGCGGAGCCCAGCGTCGAGACCCCGGAGGGGCGAGGAGCCTCCCCGGCCTTGGAGCTGCAGCCCCTCACCCTCACCTTCACTGCCCAGGAGATGGAGAAGCACCGCAGGCCGCGCAGCAGGCGAACTTCCCTGCTCTGCCTCCCCCTCCGGCCCCCGCACCAGCCCTGCTGCCCAACCACATCCAGCGGCCTCCATCGTCATCTTGCAGCACCCCGGGGCCACTCCACGGCCACCCTGGCCTGGGTGCACGACATCCTCCGGCCCCACCGACGCCATCCTGTCGCACCTCACGCACTCCGTCATCCCCGCCACCGCCACCTTCCTGGCCCGTCCTCACCACATCCACCCGGGCCCTTCACCTTCCACCCAGTCCCGCACGCTGCCCTCTCCCCAACCCTGCTCGCCCCTCGGGCCGGGAGCCACCCAGGCCAGGGCAGGCGCCCCGAGATTCTCCCCTCGGGGTGTGGGGCCGAGGCCGCCCCCTGGGTGGGCAGCGTCCAGCGTCCGGGAGCCAAAGAGCGGAGCTTGGGCTTGCAGGGCTGGGCTGCGGGTGAGGCTTGCTTTGGGTTCACTATCACGGATCCCCTTCCTCCTCGTGCTGTCCTCCTTTCCTGTGTTTGTGGGCTAGGGAGCTCCCGTCTGCTGCCCACGCCTTCAGGTCGTCACCTCCACGTGGCCCCTCTTTCTTGCCTCTACTTTTTATCCTGCTCCTCTCTATCAGCCCCGACACACTTTCCTTGTCTCTGACACGTGGAAGGTCCCGGCCAGTGAGTACTCTGCAGCCTGTGGGAGGCGACATCCCTGTCCCTCAGTGACACACTGCCCAGGTGAGGTGGAAAGGAAATGTGACCTGGAACCCGGCAGGTGTGACCCGGTCCCTGGTCTAGAAGAGGCCTCCACACGGCCCGGGGAGAGGGTCCTCTTGTGGCCGGGTTTTGACAGCTGCCCGGTGCTGCCCAGGGCCCGTGCGGGTCTGATGGGTGTATCTTTTGTTGTGTTGATGTTCCCTTCCTAATTTATAGAATTTTTTTAGTGTAAAAATTGCCCTGAACTATAAAGGTAAATGCTGCTTTTTGTAGCGCATATAAAAAGATTTCCTACTTGTAGTAGACTGCAATGCTATTTTTTACATCCAGCTCTTCAAGTGACCCTTATTCTGGTGGCTTTGTGCAAATATGTTTGCCCTAGTTGAATTAAGAAACTTTAAGGGTTATAAAATGAAAGTTAAAAAAAAAGTATTTGTTTTCTGCTAGATACTCTGCCCCAAATCCATTGAGGTGAGAGTTCCCTGAAGTAGGAGGAGTTACATCCGGTGCTAATGAAGACGACCTCTCTTCTCTGGGGATCCTGGACACGGCAGGCAGCTTGTCAGCTGGTATTTGGTGTTCTGCCATTAGGGGAAGAAGATGGTTATTCATTTTCCCAAAAGGAATTGAACTCTGCTATGTAGAAACATGAAATCATTCTGTGAGAGTTAGAGGTAGAAGGGTGTAAAGGCGCCTCCTGGTAAGACGGACTGCGGTAACCACTGACCTGTTTGCTTTCTGCTCATTGTGGTAAGGCCCAGCATTACACAGATGCTGGGTTTAAAGTGGCTGTGTTCTCAAGGGGACGATAAAGGGCAGCTTCCACATTTCTCGCCATATATCTTTACTAGTTTTTAATTAAAAAAAGAACAACTTTGTAGTTTTAAAGCATGGAATTCTTTTTGAGTGACTCGTAGTTTTCTGTCACAGCCCATCCAGTGGCGGTTTTAACATCTTCAAAGTTTTACCTCCAGGCCGTATACAGTTGCAGAAATCTTCTTTCCTCATACCGGAAGACAACCCTTTTCCTTAAGTGCTTTGAGGAATTTAAATCTATTTGGATCAATTAAAATATGTTAAGCTTCATTGCTTGTGGTAGAATCTATTCTGTTCCGATACAATCTCACAAGTAATATTCCCTCAATACTCATACACAAGGTGTACAATTACTACATCTCCATCCGATTTTAGTAAACTCGTTCTGCAACGACTTGTATCCCATGATCTGTGATTCAAATTTAATATCATGAAACTTAAGAGTTTGCTGTGTTCGTAGGCTTGTCATTTCGATAGTGATCTTTTAGCGCTAAAATTTGTCCAGTGCTGATTTTCTAAATAAGTCAAAGTGATGTTCTTGAATTCGGAAGTACAAAGAACTATAAACTTACTGCTTTCCTCTAAGAAGTTCATAATTCTTAAAGTTCCAAGAAAGTCTGACACTTTTAATACAGGAAGGCCTTCCAAGAGGGGAAGCCCGGCAGTATTCTGGTGATGAGATGTTAGTGGGTTTATGGAGAAAGAAATACTTGTTTAAGTGGCTTTCATCATGCCGCACTGCTTCAAAGTTATTTTTCTTGTCATTCATGATTCCTTTGGCGCACTCCCTGACAATCCTGAGAACCTGGGCCGGAGTGCCACCAAAAACAGCAGCGTGATAATAAAAGTCTCCCTGACCACGGGGTATATCAGCTTCTGATGACGCATTTCTCTCGTAAGGAAACAAGTCAGGATATTCCTGATACCAAAAGCTGTGCAATTGAGCTACTGACTCTCCTAGGGTCTTCCACACCATATCTGTTTCTGAAGACTTGGTCCACATCCATGCAGAAGAGGAAGTCAACTTCATGTTGGATGTGATCCACGATGTGTTCTCCGATGGTCTTCATGCGCATCATACTGACATCTTGCCATCTCTTCTCTTGCTTAATCTGAAAAACTTTGAATGTATGGTGACGATTCAGAGATACCCAGGGTATTCTAGAAAAGTTGTCTGTCATGATATAAATGATGACTCTCTGGTCAGTCATAAAGAACTTATCAGCAGATAATAAAAATCTTCCCAAATAGTACTGAAGGTATCTGTGAAGTGAGAACAAAGTGATTAGTTTATCTTTCTATCTTTTAGTTTTTTCAACCAAATGTACAATATGATTTTTGAGTAGCATAGGAGAAAAAAAAGGGAAAATATCTACCTCTCCTCTCCCCCATGGGGTTCTGCACATCACAGAATACAAGAGGAATACCTCCTGAGAATGCCTCCTTTGCAAACTGAACAGAACCCTGCTGGATAGGAAAGCCAGAGTTTTCAGCATTATCAGAGTAATGGTAACCAGGGCTGGGGATTTTGCTCAGTGGTTTTGCCATCTGCCTTGCAAGGACCTGCATTTGATCTCTGGTGCAAAAAAAAAAGGAAAAGAAAAGAAAAGAAAAATGGCAACTTGCTTTGGGGGTTGCAGGCAGGAAAGGTCCTGCCTATAGCTTGCTTTATAAATTGTCAGTTACACAAATCAGAAGTGATATAGTGAGCCCTCTACATCCGAATCCTTTTTTCTAATTTTTCCTTGTGGCCCTTATTACATGCTACCAGGATAAGTGGAAAACAAGACTTCCTCATTTCTGGTCTCACAAGCCAATTAAAGATCCTCAGAGTGACTGAAAGTCTCAAGCCAAAGGAAAGTCTCAATTAAAAAAGAGAAAAGTTAATCATATGTGGCTTAGCTTCCAATAATGATGATGCAAACTTTAGAAATGAGCTCTGGATACTGATCTAAATTTTAAGAAGTATGACAGGCCACAGGTCAAGAGAAACCTTTCTAATTCAGCACATCTAAAATTACCAGGTGAGTTATGAAAAATGTCACTTAAAATACTACTGTGTTGCATGGTAGCATTCAAATCCAAAGAAGCCCAACATCCACATTCCTTTTATGGTTGGTATTTTTGTGTCATATTTCAGACGTCTTTGCCTTTTAACCTAATGAAAATATTGTCCTGCATTTTCTTCTAGTAGATCTACTGCTTTGTTTTTCACATTTTTCTATTATCCATTTGAAATAATTTTTGCGTACCAAGATATAGAAGAAATTGAATTATTTCAATTAAATAAAACTTTCTACTTTGGAAGGACATTATAGGTACAAAAACTTACAAATATATGATACAGGGTTCCCTAACATTAATTCTTAGCTCGGCATGATGCTGGAATCCCAGCACTCTAGGCTGAGGCAGAATGGTTGCCATGAGTTTGAGGCCTGCCTGGGCTACATAGTGAGTTCAAGTCTAGCTTGAACTACATAGCGAGAGTCTGTCAAAAAAAAAAAAAAAAAAAGGAAAAATTGTGGAAATGATGATCAAAAATATAGTGAATGTTAATTTTTTTAAATTGCATTACAGTCAGAATTTTTTGATTTATTTGTTTTTTTTGTTTTGTTTTGTTTTTTTGTACTGGAGATCAAACTCAGGTCTTTGTGCTTGTAAGGCAGGTGCAGAACCACTAAGCTAAATCCCTGGGCCCATTTGCTTTATTATTAAAAACTCTGTATTTTACTTAGGAAATGATCACAATAATATAAAGTTTGATAAAAAATACAGTGTCTAAATTTTTAAAATTATTCCAGTAAAAGACACATTTCCATTAATGCCCCTCAAAATACTCCATCTATCTCTGACTCCTCTTGTCCCATTATTCTTGTCTGAAGCAATTCTGGAAGTCCTTTATCATTTTTTTTTTTTTTTTTTTTTTTTTTTTTT